GACATTTTGACAGAACACCCTTGTACGTTCTGCCATTCTAACCACAGCATTATAATTTGTTGCTGTGGCCGTCCTTCGAACATAACAGTCCTTCCCCCCTTAGGACGCGCGATTTGCAATAGCAGCCAGTGTGCAATTAGATACGTAGACCTCTGTGATGCGAGTTCTTCCTCAGTCGAGATCCGCTTCAACGAGCGTTTGTCGCTTCAGTCTGCTTCGGAACGAACACAGCCGGGCGGAATTTGACGCTAGAGGAAATAAGCCATAGAGCAAGAGAAAAATATCTCGCGGAAATAGAAAATAACCCTGGTCATTCCCCTGATTTACGCCTAAAGAGAAAGCCGATATTACAGCACCTGTGTAAACGTAAGGAGTAGGTTTGTAGCTGGCAAGGGATGGGGATGGGACCCTGGCTGACAGCTTTCGGATCTGAACACAGCTGCAGGATGGGGATGGCCCTGGTCGAAGGGATTGGGAAGGGACCCTGGCTGGCAGGATGAGGATTGGGGGAACACAGCTGCAGGATGGGATTGGAAACCCTGGCCATAGGATTGGGGATGGGACCCAGGCTGGCAGGATGGGAAACCTGTCTCAAAGGATGGGATTAGCACCGGGCCCCTAAGATGGGAGATGGGAGTCGGTCACCCCAGCCAGGATGGGGGGATGGCTGACCACTACCACCCCCCGGGATTGGGGGATTAGACCGTTTTTGCAACCCTCTGCTTGGGCCTTCGGCTCGTATGGTTAGTTTTACAGGTATGGGGTCACGCACCCCCAACCATGTAACACACACACACACACACACACACACACAACGGAGCTCTCTGCCCCTCGAGCCCACTGCTTAGCGCCTGGCGCGCGCAAATACGTGGGTCGACATCTGGCGAGGCGCTTTCTGGCGAGGCGCTCCCCAGAGGCCCGCTCTTGTAATTGCAACCACAAAGATGATCCTGCGCCATTCAATACTTTATACGGGACATCACAACAGCGCTCCAACTCCAGGCTGGCTGTGCGCGCGCTGCATCTCAGGTAGGCGGCACGGTGTGGACCAGAAAACACCAGCAACGTGTCCCTCCCCTCCCCTCCCAGGAAGCATCAACTGACTTGCGAACGCGGCAACAGAAAATACTGAGAATGTGGAAAAGAGCAAACCATCATACACCCAACCACCTACACACAGTACGCGCAATCGGTGCAGCGGATTCCCTGCCTCCTTTTTTCCTAGCATGCAAGCCGTCTTATCACACGCAAAAATCCCCAAGTACCCCGTGCTGGACGCGCCTAATATTACGTATTGGGGCTTTCGCCGGTTGTTGAGACGAGAAAGCAACAAATACAGTTTCTAAAGGTTCCAACATAGCACATCGCCTTGGGCTCCGTGGAGGACGGGGGGGCAGGGGGGAAAGAGAAATGAGGAATGGGGAACCAACTCGTACGGAGGAGATTGCGGAAGCCGCAGCAGCAGCGAATCAATGCAGTGACTGTACTCATGCAGACAGTTTCAAGCAATCCAACCTTAATACATCCGTCCGGAGCCCGAACTCCACAACATTCTATCCTTCACCCTTTTGCATAACAATTACCTTAGGGCGCAATCCTACTTATGTAAATCAGATGTCTTCTTCTCAAAAGGGACGCGCGTGCTCTGCAAGCGCGCGTATGTCTGCTTATGGAGTCGGACGGCCCCTCCCACGATCCCCAGCTGTGCTGTGCTGCTGTGCAGTGAACCTCTACCGCTCTCTCGTCGCCTCCCAGAAAAATGGCGCCGTGGCGCCAATCTCATTAACCGCCAACCGCGGAGCTTGCTTCAATACAGTCATTATTGTGGGCCCCCCCCTCGCCACATTCTTCCCACGAAGCAAACTACACCGTGCACCGGACATCACGAGCGGCCTCCACACGTCTCGCTTCCGACCTCGCTCACAACCTTATGCTTTAAGCTTAACGGAGTGTGATCCACTCGCCGACCTGCCCTTTCAATCATCCCCGAACACCGTCCCGATTGCAATCTAGGCGCGCGGGCCCCTGGCGTTGTGCTGCGATGTGCTGTGCAAAAAACGTATTCTTGGTTCTGCCCTGGTTCGGCAACCCATCCCAACAAAGAGGAGATTTTACCTTTCCTTTTAGTGCACAGGGAATGAAGTACACAGCGGAGAGTTCGCTATCTCCACGCGATCTCCTCAACACGTTGTGTTGCAAACCGGCAATGCAAAACTGAGACATGGGTTACCTACCACCATCCTTATCTTTAGGCCTCTCCGCAAGACCACGCGCTCGCACGCAGCCCCATCGTGCATGCAGCAACCCGCTCGTCCACGACCGTACACCTCCGGTAAACAGGAGCCTGGTAAACTGGAGCATTCAGTCAACAGAAAGTAGTATACCACCCCCCGCCTGCACCTTTACACGCCATGCGGCCGTGCGAGCCTCAGCCTCACCAATTTAACAACATTGGAAAAAACGCGCACTCTGCGGGGTGGGGAGGCGGTAAGATGAGGGGAAAACCCACCGTCATTACCACAAGGTACGCCCTTAAGTCACCACCCAAGAAGGAGTCCCCACCCATCATTGGCATTGAAACAACACCACTTACAGTGCCCCTGCAGCCCGGTAAATTGTTTGTTCAGGCCAACATATCTTTAAGTCCAACAAACCAATAAGCAAGAGGTAAGGTAGCCCAGGGAGCCCACATATACGTAACATGCACACACGCACATAGACGCGCGTCCGACATCTGAAAGCCATTGCTTCCTTCCCTCCTAACAAGGGTGCTTCTAACCAAGGGGTGAATCAGCGAATCTGAGCAGAGTTATAATAGACGTGACGAATCAAAAGCAGAACCAGTAAAAAGGTTATCGACCAACCGGCCGCAACGCCGCCGTTTGACTCAAGCAGTAATGCATCGCAGCAATGGTGCCGCAGCTCTCCGTGTGCAAAAACCTATCCCGTATTCCACTCAAGACTTTACCGCGGAATGCACCTGCCTATCGTTCCATCCCCCCCCCCAAATCAACCCCCCCAACTCCCCATACCCATGGAACACAGCTCCGGGTCGTCTTAGCACCTGGTGCGGCTAGCTTTATACCTGCCCGCGACAGCGGCAGCGGCAGCGACAGCGACGGCGCACGGCCAGGCCCAGCTAGTTGCCTCCATGAACCAGCTCCCAGCACCCCCAAACCAGCTCTCTGCCAAAGAGCTGCAGCAGACTGACTGCCTGCAGCGTGCAACTCCCGTGTGTGCAGGCCCCGAGGATACAACTGATGCAGCGGACGGCAGTGCCGTGTACGCATACCACGCAATGAGGTTTGCCCGTCTGTGAGTCCGTCCGTCTCTCCGTCGCCGGGACCCACATAGACTCGCAGCAATATCCCCCCCCCCCACACACACACACACACGCACAGAGCCGAGGGAAACGCTGCCCGTCACCAGACCTAGCAGATTGCTTGAACAAACCTGTGATATAAGACCTTCTAAGGACCGTAGATAGGCCGTCCTTCCCTCGTTAGGAAATACCCACCTAAGAGCACACACACACACACACACACACACAAAAAAAAAAACACGCGCACGAACGCGTGTGCGCGTGCGGCCAGTTTTCAACACGAACGCAAGGGGCTCTGGCCTGCAGAGCTGCCGGTGCAGGGTCAGCAAGGTCGCGTCTCCCTAGGAGAGAGGACAGCTAAGCTCAGCCGTAAACTCTCCGCCCCGTGCCAATGGCGGCGCGGAGCTGGGGCCAGCGCGCCCTGCCAGACGTCCCTGCCAGCGCCAAATCATTGAAGCCGCACTCTAATCAATCCTTCGCCTCATCTCGAAGCCTCACATTTTAGCCTCAAAAATTTCAGCCTCAAAATCCACAAGCTATGTTAATTAGACAAAGGTACGTCCTTCCGTTAACCAGAGCCACTTGCGTTGTGGGACAAACGACCACATATCAACACAGCCATGATGATCTACGCAGCAGAGCCACAGGTCAACCGCAACCCATGCGGGCGTGCGAGCCTTCTGGCTGGCGATGGTGGTGGATCCTATGTATTTGAATTATTGCCGCACCCACAACCGACCTCAACAGCTTGCCCCTACCATAGTCCGTGAGCCCTCCCTCTTATTCCTCCCCCGCCTGTTCCTTTGGACCACCGGACGCCACGTTCGACGTCTCGACCTGCTACCATAAAGCCACACGGGGTGCAACCGGGCTTAAGCCTCAAGCCACAACACAAAAATGAAAAGAGTAGACCCGCCGTGACTTGGCTTTCCGCAACCATTCGGCTAAATTTCGCTCGTCCAGAGCCAAGCAGCCGTTGCAGCCATTGCTGCTGTTTCACCAACCCGAGTCACAAAGCTGAAACCCAGAACCCGAAATCGCCCCCTGGAATCGCCATGGACCAGGCGCGCACCTCCCGCAGATCCGGGCCACTCCTCCCTAACCCAAACATATCCATCCGCCGCACACGTCCGCCTCTAACCCTCCCCGTTCCTCGCCAGCTTCCCTCCTCCCGACGACGCCCGTGATCGATGAACCTGGTGCTCCTTAACCGCCACCTGCAGCCGCATCCCCGGCGTCCCGCCGGCTGCCAGTCTCGCGCCCCGCGCCCAAAGCCGCGCACTGGTACAGAACACGCGTGTCCCGTAGCAGCCGCAGCACCACAGCCGGCGCCGCCGTCGGGTCGCTCGCCGCCAGCTGCCCCGCCACATCATCGGCCTGGCGCAGCAGCTCCCGCAGGTGACCTTTGAGCGCCTCAGTCGAGGAGCCCCGAACACCCGCAACAAGGTCCGCGTCGGATGACACCGCTGGCGGCTCATGCTGCAGCTGCAGCTGCAGATGCCGGTGCTGGCAATCACTAGGCGGCTGAAGCCGCTTATGTCGGTCATCCTGAAGTACCTGCGGGTCATGTAATGTCACAGCGGCTGAGGCGGATGCCGCCACGGACGTGGGGACTGTAGCACTCGAGGCCGCGCCTGTGGTCGTTGCTGCATCGCTTACGAGGAAAGGCCGCAGCACGCGGCCCGACCCGTCTGCAATGTACAGGCGGACGGCGTCTAGGTAGCACGGCACGGAGCCGTCCCCTCTGTCGGCGCACTCCCGCCAGGCGGCAGCGAGCAGCTGTTGACCGCTGGGTCGCCGCCGCAGCGCTAGCTGTTGGGCGGAGTAGTTCACGCACAGCGTCCAGCTACGGGAAAGGAGGACGGCGGGAAGGGGAAAGTAGTCTTTTCGTAAGCAGATTGTGGACTTGAAGCCCTATCCAGTTTACAAGGCAGTGCGTACAGGACAGGGGGGGGTCAGGGGGCCGGAACGAGGAACGGCATTGTGTTCATGTGACGGCCACAGGGGGTTATCGAGTTATCGAGACGCTGCTCACATACGCAGGAAAACTGTACAAAAAGCGGAGAGAACGCGGTAATATGGAAGAGCAGGATGGAAGAGGCGGAAGGAGAGGAAAAGGACTCTGCAGCAAGCATTCCTAAAGGACCATCCCCCCGCTGAAATCCAAAGCCCGTGCAGCTCACCCCGAAGCCAGGTAGCTGCCATCGCCGCCACCGTGGCCTGTCGTAGCACCCGCCAATCGCTTCGCCACCCCCGGCTGGCTGTAACGCTCCAAAATGATGTTACGAAGCTGCGCAGCGCTACAGCTTCCCACGGCGCGCATGCAAACCCTCAGCGGTGGCGGTGCCGCCGGCGGCGGCGACGAATGAGGCAGCGGTCCCCGCACGCCCTCAGTCCGTGGTGGTTGCAAGCACTGCCCCGAGGGTCCCCTGCCGGACACAAGGCCCATATGAGGCACGCCGTGCTGCTGCTGCCCGTCACGTAGCCGCACGGCCTCCCCTAGCCCATCCATCAATACCTGCAACTGTTCGCCCTTAAATCCCAGCAGTTCCAATAACCTGTAAGGTGGCATTACATGCAAGAAACATCGCAAGGGTTGAACTGCCGAAGTCCGAAAGGGAGCCGGGTAAGCGGGTGGATAGAGGTAGAGGGTCTCAGGAAAGACGAGACCGCCGACGGCAGATAGTAGGCAGGGGGTTAGGGGAACTGGCCGTGTATGGCCCCGCCGGGTCCATACACGCCGCTTCTGCTTCTGCTGCTCTTGCCAAATCACGTCAAAAAAGCAGCAAGACGACAGGGAGGCAACCAACGTCCGCAAGGGCAAGCCAAGAGCCCCGCCAGCAGCGCACGCAACAGGGACACGCCTGCCCCTTGGATTTGCCAAGAAATGCACGCGCCATCCCTCTTTGCAAATGAGCGGGGCTCGCCAGGGCTTTGCAACGAGGGATGACTTCTTCGTGTGCTTCTTGGTGGGTCTTAGCGACAGGGCTGTCCCTTCTATGCGTGCTGCAGACGGTCCCTTCCCCGCTCCAAATACCGCTAGACCTCTAGAAGTACTACGTCCCTATATGGCCCGGGTCTCGTACCCCGGCATCACCACCCCCACAGGCGGCCAATAGCGCTCACTGTTTAAACTGCTGTTGGATGTACGGTATCGGCCGGCCGTATGTGCAGCAAGCCCCGTCCTCCTGCTTTATCGCCAGCAACAGGGAGCGAGTCCCCGGACTGCCTGCGACGTCGGCCCCGGCCTCTCCTGGCCCGAGTGCCACATGCCGCCAAAGAAACGTGTTCGCTGCAGGTCTCGGATCGGGCCCGCATTCCCGCGTCCCGCATCGTGCGGTGACCTCCGTCACCGTGGCTGTGAAGGCCGGGTTCACCAGCCGGGCGGGAGTGCCGGCGGCGTCGCGGCAGTCCGGGTCGGCCCCGTGCCGGATGAGCAGCTCCGCTAGGGCCACATCACCACGGAGACAGGCCCAGTGCAAGGCAGTGTAGCCAGAGGTGCCGGAGCAAGCCCCGGATCCGGATCCGGAATCTGGAGGCGCCGCGTCGGCAGATGCCACAGCGCCCGCCGCAGTGGTCGCCACAGCAGCCGCCTCCTCAGCGTCCTCAGTCGCGTCCACGGGCGCGCCACGCTCCAACAGCTCCTCGGCGCGGCGGTGTACCTCCGCAGTCGCCGCAGCGCTGTCCGAGCCGCTGCCGCCGGAAAGAGGCGCGGGCTCCACATAGCCGCGCAGCAGCCGTAGCAGCTTCCGGCCCAGCGTCGCTCGCAGGGCACGCGCCTGGCGGAAGTCCATCTCCTGCTCGTCGGCCTCGCTTGTCCCGACCCTGACCGACCCGCGGCTCATCGGTGGCCCCCGATCCAACTCCAGGTCCATACAAGCGTCCGTTTGCTGCGGCAGGAGAAGTTGGTCGGACCGCTTCTGCGCAACGTCGGGCTCGGCCCCGTTAGCTGCTAAAGAGGTGCTCTGGTCGCTGGCCGAAACCTTGTGGTGGGGGGGAGGAAAATATGGCGCATAAGCCAGAGGGTCAAGAGGCAAATAATGGAGCCGCAGCGGATCAAGAGTTGCATGAGAACCTTCCGGAGGACAGAAAGGAAAAGCGTCAACTTAGGAAGGGACACAGCCTTAGGGTACACAGGGTTGAGTGCCGTTGTCACACATATCCCTGTCACAATAGTCCCTTGACGCGACTTGGCTTCTTATTATATTACAACTTAGCTTTGGGTTTACGCGGGGCCAGGGCCATGAACAGGGCGAGCAGCAGGTGCTCTTCGCTGCAGATCTTGACACACAGCTGCCCCATAGGCCTCTTTCCGCCCATCCACGCATCCACGCTGCTACTGCTCAATCCGCTGTCCCTGACTAGCAAAACCGACCTAGCTCCCACCAATGACTCACCCGGATCCCATAGCACCGGCAGCCCGGTTCCTAACAGCTTTAAAACGCCGTCATCCCTTACCTGCGCGTTCGGCCGCTTGGAGCAACGCTCCACCAAGGATCCTGGTGCCGGCTGAATGCCCAGATCCGCCGCTGCCACGTCCTGTCTCGTGCGCCGACTCCCTTGCCGTCCGACAGTGTCACTCACTGTCACCCCCACCGATGGGCCCACAGACGTATCCGCGCCCACTGACCGCCGAGCCCCCATCATGGCCGCCTCCCCCACTGTCGCGATGTCTTCCCCAACCGAACGCCTCGCCAGTGGCAAAGCCGCTGCTGGCCCCCCCCGTTCCGCCGCAGCGGCTTCCGCATCCGCCATTGCAAGGGGCCCGGCCGCGGCCAGAGGGTGCGATTCAATTGCATATGCTCCGTCCCCGAGCGGTCCGCTTGTGCTGGCGCTACCGACGGGTGCGCTTCGGTCGTCGCTGTCACTGACGGGTGTCGATTCGCCTGATTCCAGCGGGTAAGCGCCTGCATGGTCCAGCCTGATCAGACGAGTGCTTTCTATGCCTGGCAAAGACCCAAGCAGCGCTCCAAAAAGCCCGCCGGGAAGGGACGGCTGTGTGGGTGACACTGCATGGCTCGACTGTTGCTGATGTTGTTGCTGCGGCTGTTGCGGCGGCGGCGTTTGAGCCTGTGCCTGACTCCCCGGCAAAGTCCCGCGCTGCAATTGCATCAAATTATTAAGGCCGGCGTCCGTGTACGGCAACGCCTCGTACGACAATGCGCCGTCAAAGCGTGGCAGGTTGCAATGCCCGGACGCCCCTGGGACCCCCCTTGATGGCAGCAACGGCTGCTGCTGCTGCTGCTGCTGCTGCCAGCTTCCGAGGGTTCCGAAGGGCAGCCGAGGACCTCCGCAGTTAGGAAGCTGTAGCAGCTGCGGCGCAGGGGGCGGTTGCGGCAGCGACGCCGACGCCGATGGGGGAACTGTGGCGTCAGGGAGTGCTAGCGGCAGGGGCTGCGGCAACAGGACGCTCTGAGGAAGCGGCGGCGGCGCGTCACCGGCGCCGCTGGGTGCCAGGGAGGACCCGGCGCCGCCGCCGTCACCGGCCGCCGCTATATCGAGCAGTGTGTTCCAGATCGGATCTGTGTTGGACGGCAGACCGTCAATGAGGTCCTGCATTGAGCTGAGCCCGCCCAGGCTCATGGGTGCCGGGCCGTCCAGATGCATTTGGGAACGGTTTTGATCCGCTTTGCCGAACACCTGAAGCTCCTGATGCACTTGTAGCTGTTGCTGCTGTTGTTGTTGTTGCTGTTGCTGCTGTTGTTGTTGCTGATGATGCTGATGCTGATGATGCTGATGATGCTGCTGCAGCTGTTCTAGCTGCTGTTGCTGTTGCTGCAGATGGTTTTGTTGCTGCTGCAGATGTTCGTGCTGCTGCTGTTGTTGCTGCTGCTGCAATTGTTGAAACTGCTGAAATTGTTGTTGCTGTTGCTGCTGCAGGAACTGCTGCTGTTGCTGCTGTTGCTGCTGCAGCTGATACTGCTCCCCTGCCAGACCCAACATGGCCTGGTGGGGTTGCGTATGGAGCTGGAACGGCAGTCCTTGCTGGGCCGGCGGCGGCTCAAGCACAGCCGGCTGCGGGGTTCCGAACATCCCATACAGGCCGTATGGGCTGGCGGCGGCCGGATCGGCGCCGTGGCTCTGCAAGAACGGCACGCCCGGCTGGGGCTGATGTATATGTAGGGTCTGCGGCGAGGGTACCCCTTGACACAGCAGCGACTGGCTTCTCTCCAAGCCAATCCCATTCGAGGATGAATGTGCAGTGCCATTACCGCCACCGGCCGTGAACGGGCTCGGTCGAGTGCGCGTCGCCTGCAGGCCCAAAGCAGCGTAGCCGGGCATGGCGGGCCCTGATCCCGGTCCAAGTCCCGCGCCCGGAAGTCCCCCGTTGGCGCCTTGTTGCTGCTGGCTTTGCAGCTGCTGCTGCAATTGTTGCACCTGTTGCTGCAGTTGTTGCTGTTGTAATTGCTGCTGCTGCAATTGGTGGTGCTGTTGCTGCAATTGCTGCAGCTGTTGCTGCTGCAGCAGGCTTGCCGGCGTCTGCAACGCATGCCGCTGGGCCTGCAGCCCCGCCACTGCTGCAGCTGCTGCAGCAGCCGCATCTTGCTGTTGTTGTTGCTGCTGCTTCTGCTGCGCCAGCACGAGGTGCTCCTGCAGCGTTAGACCTCCGGCCACGGGCCCTGGCCCTGCCGGCAGGCCCAAGCTGAGTGGATGTGGGACGCTGCCGGGCAGGCCTGGCAAGGGACCCGGGCCCTGCACGGCAGGCAGCGTATTCGGGAACACCAATCGCTGCGCACCCCAAGCTGCGGTACTCTGTACCAAGGCCGACAGGTGAGGCAGGGCGCTGTTCCATCCTAGCACGCAGCAAGCCACGAAGCCCAGGTATCTGCTAGGACAAAAGGGAGAGAATGGGAAAGACTGAAAGGAAGGGAAAGACATGGCCTAGTCCGAAGAGGGGTGCTCCATTGACATACGGCCAGGAACGAGACGTGCAGGACGCGAGGCATGGCAGAGAGCGGATGCGCTGGAAAGGTGGGCAGGCAGGCATCCAGGTGGTTAGGTAGGTAGGCAGGCAGGTAGGTAGGTGTGCACGCATAATCCATCCGTCTATTTTACACCATTATCAAACCACCCAGTCACGGGACAACGCAAGAAGGCTCACCTGTATTTTTCGTGTGCGATGCCTGGCGCTAGCGGCCCCCGCGTCTCCCGCAGCACGTTCTGCACGAAGCTCTGCACCACGTCCTGCTGCGCCAGGTAGGTGGAGCTGGCCGGCTGAGCAGAGGGCCAGTGCTGCGTGGCCTTTGGCAAGAGAAAAGTGGAAAGGGTGGATGACCAGCAGGAGGGAGAATCAGCCACAAATGGTCCTGTCGTGCAGCATCCCATACATGCAAGGCCTGTGACCGCGGCGCACAACCGTTAATGCCATTCAAGCCACGCTATGGAACCCCTGGCGTACCTCAAAACACGCATGGCCAACACACAACCGAACTATCCAGACTGCTATGCCGTAGCAGTGCGCCTACCTGCTATTTGACTCCCTCCATAGCCAGGTACTGTGCATAAGATTCGCCAGCTAGCTTAGCTGGCCATCCAATATTAAACACCATATCAACCGTCCCATGCCCCTACGGCTTTTACAGGCGGCCCACACTTGTGCAAAACTTTGTAAGTTGTAACTTGTAAACCTACACGTCAGACTCCTTATTTCGCGCGCCCTGCCACACCTGCTTGAAGGCGCACATCACGTCGGACACGGCCAAGAACCCCAGCGCGGGAGGGCTCTTCACGGGCGGAATGCCCACGCCGAAACCGTCGCGCGCCTCCACTTTCAAGTGGTTGAACTGCGGGGATGGAGAAAGGAGATGGCAGCGCAGGCCGACACCGCAGAGAGCTCGTAATCGTAGATGGCACATCGCAGGACATCAGGAGCTTTAACCAACTGCTAAGTAAACAGTAGAAGGTTCGTCTGAAGGACGCGCGTAGCCCATGGCCCCATGGGCCGCCAACGAGTCCTCAGAAGCCGGGGAGACTCTTCAAAACAGTCAACAGGTCCCGAAGCCACCGACGAGCACTTCTATTAGCTTCAGTCCCTCCCGAACACCCCCAGTTTAAACTTGTTTTTTTTCTCTCGATCGAAAAATCGGATGGCATCAAGCAACCCTGGTTCAACCATGGGCCGCAAAATCCTTTTTTAAATGCAATGACGCACACTGACGACCCAGATCAAACCTGCGTGTTTGTTTAAAGTCCATCATCCTGGATCCCCAAAGTCAACAAGTACGGGTCCATGGATACGCCCCATGGGCTGGTGGCTGCTAGGCAAATAAGCACTGCTGACCTAAGTTTGCAACCACCTCCGACCCAAAGCAGCTGCCCTGACCCAAACCAACCGGCCCTGACCCAAATCAGCTGCTGTACTTCCAAATCAAGTCCAGACCTCCAACCCAAATCACGGAAGTTGTTGCCCGGGAGGAACCTAACAGGTCGCAAATCCCAGGCTTCGGCTGCCCGGCGAAACCCAACCGAGAACCCCCTGTGAAGTACTCGTCCCGCGAATTCAGCATCTCGCTCGTTGCGCCAGCCTTGACAACCCAGGTTATCCTGCACGTGTACGGCAACAGTACGGCATCGTACCGCCCTGACCGTACCTTTGGTCGGCCCTGCGTGACCCGCAGCGGCCACCGCACCGCGTAGTCCTCCTCCTGCTGCCGCTTTATGGCGCCACGCTTCTCCACGGTACGACATGCGCACTCCACGTCCGGCCACGCCACATCAGGCCACCGCGACCAGTCCACGTTGGGAAAGGCCTCTTGGAGCCTCGGCTGCATGGCCTGTTGTTGGAAAGCAGGAAAGACGAGGGCTGGTATGCGGAGAACCGCAAATACAGGGCTTTCATCCGGCTGGCAGTCCTTATCACCGCTGGTACCCATGCTGGTGTGACACTGCAATGTCCACCGGGACCGCCGCTGCTGCGCAAAGGAGCAGCAATAGCTTTTGGCTGTCAGAAAACATGGCGTCGTGGTCGTACCCCCCTCGCCAACGGTACATATGCCATGATTGACACAGCGCCAACGTAGGTCTTATCGTGGGTTCGCTAAAGCACTGCAGCGCTCCGCTCAAAGTTGAGGGCTTGTCCGACTCGCCCTCAATTGAAGCCCATATTAGCATCATCATTCTTATCCCCTGTGCTTGGTCGGCCCAGTACGACAATAATTCCTTCTGCTGGGGATTTGCGCGCTTTGGGTCATGCCTTGCATGCTAAGTCCTGCTTGTAGCCAAAACCAATGTGGGGTTTCCTCCTTTCGTTAATCTCCCGATGTACCTGAATCCAGGACTGGAGTGAAGAAATAATGTGGCCCTCTGCCTCAAATCCCCGGTCGCCCACCAGCTTGGTCAACCACTCGCGCGCGGAGGCGTAGAGCGCGGCCGGGGGATCGCCGGGCGGTGGCGGCGCCGCCGGCAAGTGTCTTGTTCCGTGCCAGAAGCAGTAGGTGAAGGAGTGCCAGGCTGCTCTGAGCTGCGGGTCTATCTGCAGGTCCGGATATGTGTTGGGGCTCCTGGGCTGCAGCAGCCGCTTGGAGAGCACGATGGCCTGCTTGTGGTGCTCCCAACCCATGTCCGGCCAAAACCAGTCCAGGAACTGAGCGGGACGGGGTAGAGAGAGAGACAAAGAGGGCCGACTAGATCAGGGGTTAACCAACACAGACGAACGTTTAACGGAGGTCCACAGGCAGCGTGTTAAGCTAACAAGGGAAATCTGTGAGTGTGATTTCCTGCGCAGCGTCAGGTCTACACACGGTATCTGCTTCAACGCCTTTCCCTGTTCGCGTGCGCTGAGGCCTTGAAACGAAAATCCTGGCCCTTTCCACTTTCACATTGAAACACGATGTTGAATTTCGATCCAAGATCACCCTTTGCCTTAGTTTTTGGCCGGTGTTGGCGGCATGGAGGCGCTCCGTGAACCCACCTCCAGAAGGGCAGACATATACTCTGAGACCACCAACAAAAGCTGCCAGTCGATTGGGGCCCAGTAGTCTTCGGCGCTGTGGAAAGGGCCCACCCGCAGCAGCTCCGCCGCGATCTGCAGGACGTGGGTTTAACGGGTTGTAGGGCGCTTTTGCAGCAAGCGAGGGGAGGGGTAACGGGGTGACGGGGATGAAGGTTGACATGTCTTCCTGAATGCATGCGGATTCCCGCCGATTAGGGTTTGTTTCCTCGTGTGTATGTCTGAATATAGACGGGTTCATGAGCCCTTTCCGCGCTTACACAGGCGAAACCCTGTTGCAAGTTGCTGACCCCTGGTTGGCACCAACTGTCACGGTCATGCGATGCTCCGCTTTTAACGACCGCATGCTATTTATGGGGTTCAAGGATTATATGGGGAGCGAGGGACTCTGATGCAAATGGATAGGAGCAGCCTGCTGCCTGGAATTGCAACGAACACGTTGGGCCGGCCTAAACCTTGACACCTCTCGCAAATCAAATTGGGCATAGTTTACAAACAATTGTATCTTATGCATCGATTTGCCTTGCTGTTGTCATCAGGAAGCCCAACAATAGCTGACGTACCCGGAACTCCAGCCAATGGTATCCTCGATGAACATTTCCATCCTGATTCCTAGCCTCCTCTACGTGCGCAGGAAACTTGTCATGTGCGCCTTTCCAGCGCGACACAGCAACCATCCCCTTTAGGGCCTTTGGCCCGTCAGGGCGTTCGTTTTTACTTATTCAACGAGGGCAAGAGTCATGCGTTACAGCGAAAATTCATGATAGGCGAGTTTTGCTGCTTTGTACCCGTAAAGCTTCATGTGCCCTTGCCCTGGCCTCCCGGCCTCCCGCGATGCTGGTCATACATAAGCGTCAGATGTGCCAAGGAGTAGCCCTAGCCTTTCGGGTCAGCTTATTCCTCATGAACTTGTTTATCGGTATATTGCGAAGTTCAACATCATAACAATGTGCGAGCGCGACTTCTCAACTTCTGCGCAAGCGCCACCATAATGGACGAGACAAGAGATGCAGCAGCAGGATCAGCCAAGACAAGAAAACGCTCAGTTAGGTGAACAATTATATCTGGCAATACCTTTGTATTGGCATCAACCCGTCAGCTTTGTGAACGTCAACGGAGAGCGAAGTGCGTGAAGTTCGCTATCGGCTGCGAAGACTTCAGACCACGGTCCCAGGGACGGAAACTCCAATAACCAGCGAGAGGAGTAATGACCGGAACGTGCAGGATCTTTTGCTACATGTATGTCAACCATCTGCCAAAACGCGCACGTCAACAGTATTGCACTTGGCACATCAGGTACGCATAGCAATCATGGAGCTAAGGCAGCCCTAACCCACTCAATCCTATTTTGTAAGGGTTTAGATTAAAAGGCCCGAGGTTTACCAAGGACAAGCAACAGGACGAACGTGTTCATGAACCTACGCGTGGAAGGCCTGATTTCCCCAACACGCACGCGTCAAGCCCCTACATGGACCGCTGCCCCCAGCCTTAACGCGCGTCAATTAGTACGCTCAACCTCCCTACCCAAAACCAAACTCTAGCTCTTAGTCATTGTCCGCATCTTCCTGAAGGTCAACAACGAAGGTCATAGCAGAGTGCACGGAATAAAGGAGAGTGGAACAAGGACTAACAGTCCAAATGCTTAAATCGTGCTGTACCTCGATGCGCAGGTCACAGTCAGCATTAAAGCAGTAGCAGCATCCAGTTCCGTGCCATCCCGCCCACCCACATCACCCAACATCTTCACGATGGCGCAGTTCGACAACAAGGGAAACAGATTAACCATCCGAGACGGTTGCGAGGTGCCTCCTCCTCCTCGCAGCCAATTTCAAAATCAATCTGCCGAAGAGGAAAATTGAGTTCGGACCAAGTACATGGCCAAAGGTTTGCATCCAACCAACTTTCTCATGCCTTCAGCACGCCACGTATCCACCTGGTTTGAAGGCCAATTGCGTATTCGACACAAAGCATACACTGGACATGTCTGCGTTCTGTCCGAGCTGTCACTTTACTGCGATGCCGCCCCGCCAGACACAATGCACGGGTAAAGAAAGTCCGTGTCACGCATTACCCGCAACACCTCACCCGCGGCTGTTTGAGGGTCCCTCAGGACCAGCTGCGCCGCAACTTGGTCCGCCGATCGCAGCAGTTCTGCTAACCGGTTTCGGAGCTGGCTCTGCTGTGTCGCCGCCAAATCGGCCGCGGTGGCCTGTGCCGTCGCCGTAACGGACGATGACGTGAACTCGCTGGATGGGGCCTGTGAATGGGTGTGTGCATTGCTGGCAGCAGCGACAACAGCGGGCCCGCATTCCCGCGTCCCGCATCGTGCGGCGACCTCCGTCACCGTGGCTGTGAAGGCCGGGTTCACCAGCCGGGCGGGAGTGCCGGCGGCGTCGCGGCAGTCCGGGTCGGCCCCGTGCCGGATGAGCAGCTCCGCTAGGGCCACATCACCACGGAGACAGGCCCAGTGCAACGCAGTGTAGCCAGAGGTGCCGGAGCAAGCCCCGGATCCGGATCCGGAATCTGGAGGCGCCGCGTCGGCAGATGCCACAGCGCCCGCCGCAGTGGTCGCCACAGCAGCCGCCTCCTCAGCGTCCTCAGTCGCGTCCACGGGCGCGCCACGCTCCAACAGCTCCTCGGCGCGGCGGTGTACCTCCGCAGTCGCCGCAGCTGCAAGGTATGCATCATCAGCCTGGCCTGCAGCGTTGCCCTCTTCTGCCCAAGCTCGCAGTAGTCGCAAGAGTTGGCGGCCAAGCGCCTTCTTGTCAACTGCATCGCGCTCTGCCCACACAGTCGCATTCGCCACAGTAGTCGACCTGGCTGTATTCCCCGCCAGCTGGGGAGGCTGCTGCTGCAAGAGATCCCCCGGTCGCTCGATGGTAATGGCTAAGTTCACATGCTGGTCCGCCAAAAAGGCGCCCAATGACTCCACCCGTTCCGCCGTGACCGCCGAAACCCTGACGGGTTCTTTCTGCAACACGATGATTCACAGACCGGCCGCACGGAGTAAAAGGGTAAGCACGACAGGGAGGACCAGCAGTACGGACTGAAGGCAAAGTGACGGAGCGAGCAGCGGGAGGAGAGACAACGAGGTAATCTCCGACATGATTAATGCAAGCAGGACTAGCAACCAATAGCAGAGACAGCAGCAGCAGCAGCAGCAGCAGCAGCCACAGCAGCCGCAGTATCACACGACGCCGTAAGGATCTGCACCATCAGGCGGCAATATCATCATCACATCGGCTAAGACATACGCACCCTCTCAGCCAACTGTGCACGCGTTTTCAACTGCCTGCCTCCGTCCTTACCTGAGCGTTGGGCCGCTTTGCGCTGCGCTCAACAAGAGACCCTGGCGCTGGAGCCAGACCCAGGTCCGCAGCCGCAGCCGCCGCAGCCGCTGCAACATCCTGCCGTGTCCGCCGGCTACCCGTCGACAAGACTGCTGCCTGCGCATCCCTGTCCCTTTGCAAACTCCCGACATGGCATGATTTGGTCCCGCTTCCCGACGCCATGGTGCCGCCCCCAGACCCAGCTTCATCATCTGCCGTGCTGGCGCCCGCTGCTGCCCCAGCAGTGGCGGGGCTGCAGGGCAATACCTCCCCATTGGGGCCACAGCTGGCCATGGGTGAAAGCGTGGACACTTCCCCGTGGCTTCGCCGCGTAAACTTGGAATCGCCCGCGGACAGTTCTGGCCGAGAGAGCCCTGAACTGGGCAGGGCCAGGCTGGGCAGTCCTAGACTTTGCAAAACCGCACTTGGTAGCGCGCTCGTGGTAATGGTCGCCTGGCAGGGTGACGATGCCCGGCTTGGTCGGTGCGCAAGAACCGGTGCATCGGGAGCCTGCAGCAGCGTCGGTGGCAGCGGCAATGGCTGCAGAGACGCGCCGTACGGTAGCGCGCTGTCGAACTGTTGCACCGCCAACAACGGCCCAGGTACAAGCGTCGGTGGCGGCAGCAGCCCTTCATCGCAGGGCTGCGCTTGCTGTTTCCCTAACCCCTGGCTCAGCTGCTGGTGTGAACACCCATGTGGTTGCAGTTGCGCCGGTTGCGATCGCGGTGGTGGATGCGAGGCCGAAGCAAGCCCACTGGGAAGAAGCAGTGACGGCAGCGCGGCCATCAGCTCGGATGCAGCCCCGGGAGGTCCAGCAGCTGCGCCTGTGCCTTCCTCTGCACCCGTTTCCTCGCCGGCGACAGCGCCCAGAATAGCACTCCAGGTAAGGTCTGCCTGTGACGGCAGACCGTCTATGAGGTCTTGCATGGAGCTGAGGCCCCCCAGGCTCATGGGTGCCGGGCCGTCGAGGGAGCCAGCTACCTCTGCCGCTCGCCCGGTCACCTCACCGCACCCGTCTTGCGCGTCCGGCTTTGGCTGTTGTGCCTGCTGCGCTTCGCAATATCGCACTCCACACAACCCCTGGCCGTCCTGGCGCTGTGCGTCCTCGGTAGGTGATTCTGCGCGTGTTGCCACACTGCCCGCGCTCTGGGCCCCAGCCGAGCTGGTGCTCGCAGTGCATGTGCGCGCCAAGAACGGGCTTGGCCGTGGCCGCGTGGCCTGCGAATCTGGTCGGTGCTGCTGCAACGCGGCCCCCTGTGGTGCACTCGCCTGGCCAGCCAGCAGCGGAGCCACGCTGACTGCATTAGGTGCCGTTGGGGACGGCAGAGGCACAGATCCAAAGCCTTGCACCATGTGTGCCATAGTCGCGGCCGCCCGCGCTGCGGTCGATGCCCCAGCAGCCAGCAGCGGCTGTTGCTGTGGCGGCGGTGGCGGCAGTGGCGGCGTCACCGTCCGTGGCGGCTGCGGCAGCGGCTGCGGCGTCACCGCCTGTGGCTGCCGCAGCGCCAGGGCCGCCTCCGTCTCCGGGCTCATTAGGAGGTCAGGCTGCATCGCTAGCTGCGCTGCAAGGCCCAAATCAACGCGCATCCCCAGGTCCAAGGGCGCGGACACAGGCAGCAGCAAAGATCCCATACCCAGGTTCAGGCCCTGCGCGACTGCGTTGTGCGCGCCATCGAGGCCAAGCCCGTGCTGCTGATGTTGGTGTTGGTGCTCATGCTGCTGGCGATACTGTTGCGTAAGCATCAGCGCCGCGGTACCGCCAGCCAGCGCCAGCGGCTGCGGGCCCCAGGCCGCTGTTTCACTGACGGGCAATGTCAGCTGGGCGAGAGCGCTGTTCCAGCCGAGCACGCTGCAGGCCACGTAACCCAGGTACCTGTAGGACGCAGGAAAGGAAGTGTGCTTTAACGCAACATGGGGCAAAGTGGATGCATATGATCTCTTCGTGTGTGCGATAAGAAAGATGCTTTAAAGACTTTGGCTATCAGCGCCAGGTGCTGCGACGGCTGCAACGTTCCCGTGGGTAGGAGCCGCTCTGCTTCAATTCGGGATGACACCTTTTTGACAGCTATGCACTGCAACCAGTGGTGTTGTACTCAGGGTTTTAGGTTGTGGACATTCACCCGTCCTCAAGTGCCCAGCCAGGGGAGCAGACACCTCGAAAACCCTAAGTCCCATGGGATCAGGCGCTAGAAGGCTCACTTGTATTTTTCGTGTGCGATGCCTGGCGCTAGCGGCCCCCGCGTCTCCCGCAGCACGTTCTGCACGAAGCTCTGCACCACGTCCTGCTGCGCCAGGTAGGTGGAACTGGCCGGCTGAGCAGAGGGCCAATGCTGCGCCGCCTGCAGAAGCTCAGAAGACATCGCACCGGCAAACAACAAGAGCATTTCATTCGTCCCGTGGCCAAAGCACCCATGCAGCGAAAAAGACTGGATCTGGGCAGTTGCAATTTAATCAGAGTTTAGGAAAAGGGACGGGTCATGCGCCACCCCTGAGAAGCCGCGCGAAAATTGGGTTGAGAATTCCAATACCTTCTCCAACTACCCCTTGTTTTCATCACCATCTCCGGTTGCAAGCTCCTTTCTTTCACACCTGTTTGAATGCGCAAATCACGTCCGACACGGCCAGGAAGGATAAAGCTGGAGGATTCTTAACAGGCGGAATGCCGACCACGAAGCCGTCGCGCGCCTCTAGCTTTAAGTGGTTAAACTGCAGGCAAAAAGGCGAATGGGCGAACTGAGTATCATATGTGGGCATCGTAACGTGGTAAGAAGGGGGGCCTCTGGGTTGGATGGGTGAGTGCACCGCAGTGAGGCAGAAAGGATGCAACCCAGGTTACCCTGCACGTGTACGGCAGCAGTACGGCATCGTACCGCCCTGACCGTACCTTTGGTCGGCCCTGCGTGACCCGCAGCGGCCACCGCACCGCGTAGTCCTCCTCCTGCTGCCGCTTTATGGCGCCACGCTTCTCCACGGCCCGGAAGGCACACTCTGGGTTGGGCCACACCACTGTCGGCCACCGCGACCAGTCCACGTTGGGAAAGGCCTCTTGGAGCCTCGGCCGGGTGCTCTGCCGCGCGCGCGAGCAAGGGGATAGCAATTCCATTTGAAAAAATCCCCACACGTGCATGTCACATCAGGTGTTGCTACGTGTCGGGCTGTGGGTTGGGGGGCCGTTGGGGGCGTCTCGCGGGCACTAGGAGCCAGAAGGCAGTCCCAGGAAACTTTAGGACCCGTTTGACCTGGTCCTGATGGGCGTCAGGAACGGCAGCACTCTCGAAGAAAGCACTCCTGGGGAGGGCGCCGAGCCAAAGCCGGCGCGTTGCTAGGTGCTCTTCGATGCATTCACCTTGCATTTTGTATCGGCAGCAGTTTGTGAAGTTTTGTAAGCCTCGTGTCCCTGAACTGAACCTTCCAAGCCCGACGCCGGTCCATGTGACTGCAATCGCCATGGCAGTTGGGCACCTGCCAAAACACTCTGTGGCCCTCACACCCAATGAGGGTTACTTCTAATGTGCCTTCTCTTGTGCCCCAGCACACCTGAATCCAGGACTGTAGCGCAGACGTGATGTGCCCACTCTCCTCAAAGCCCCACTCGCCCACCAGCTTGGTCAACCACTCGCGCGCTGATTTGTGGGCAGCTGCGGGTTCCCCTGACGGCGGCATCGCCGGCAAGTGTCTTGTTCCGTGCCAGAAGCAGTAGGTGAAGGAGTGCCAGGCTGCTCTGAGCTGCGGGTCTATCTGCAGGTCCGGATATGTGTTGGGGCTCCTGGGCTGCAGCAGCCGCTTGGAGAGCACGATGGCCTGCTTGTGGTGCTCCCAGCCCATGTCCGGCCAAAACCAGTCCAGGAACTGAGCGGGACGGGGTAGAGAGAGAGACAAAGAGGGCCGACCCAGATCAGGGGTTCATACACTGTAATTTTAACTCATGGGGCTTTAGGTGAGAGGGGTAACTTTGGGTTGGATCCGGCGCGTGTGCCCCTGTACGGTGATCGGCCAAGGTAAGCTGGAGGGGGGTCGCGCATAGGCGGGCGTTTACGAGTGGCTATTACTTTTCAGGACGGCTACCCTAGGAAGCAGCTTGGTATGCAGGCAACTTGCCTGCGTGTGGGGACTGGGCCTCTGCCTCCCCCCCCTCACCTCAAGCAGGGCAGACATGTACTCCGAAACCACAAGCAAGAGCTGCCAGTCGCTCGGGGCCCAGTAATCCTCAGGACTGTGCATTGGGCCAACTCGTAGAAGCTCCGCCGCGATCTGTCGATGCAAGGAATCAGAATTTGGTAGAAATTCATGGTACTGAAGTGGCTCCGACAGGTCCGATGTAACAGCTTGCAAAATACCCCTAAGCAACGACAGCTTAGCTTAGCCTTTGTATTTTGCGTTGCAGATTTGATCTAGGTTAAAGGCAGCGTATGATACTCTGCGTCGTTCGAGTCCAAAGACGGGCGTGATACCCAACTCAGGCTCGGAGCCGAGACACATCGGGACTGTTGGCCTAAATTCAAGCAATATAAGATTGTAACACCCAATATGGCCAGTTTAACCCTTAAGAACTTGGAACTCAGAGCGTCACTCAGGCGCACAGCAACTCAGTCATGCCAGCTTCGACCAACAGCCCAAGTAAGCAAGCTGCAAGGATCATCTTCAATATTGTGCACCGTTCCGCTGGTTTGTAACTCATCGCACCCGAAATTCCAGCAAAAAATAGCCGCGATGTACATTGCCGTCACTATTCTTAGCCTCCTCCACGTGGGCAGGGAACTTATCGTGCGCCCCCTTCCAGCGCGACCTATTGACCATGGTTAGTACTGGGGCTTGCGCCCCCTCAGCGTATGCCGATTATCAGAAAATTGTAACACTGTCTTTCGTAAGGTGCAAAAACGCATGATATTCAAAGTTTCTACATGGCCAAAGATATGGCCTTGGCAAGCTTAGCTCGCAGCTGCCCGAAAGCCGTTAGGCCCAAAAGGCCCTTCTAAGTCAGGCCCACTAACCGTCTCCAACTTCCAAACAGTCAACCAATAGCTCTATGCATTCCGTGTTATAAAGCTGGCGGTTGTAAGATTGGATTTCTTACTATTGACTTGGCATCTATCATAATGCTTGCACTAACATCTCACCGATAGGAAGCACAAGACCAGGAACAAGCATAAGTCCATAGGGGCCAACAAGGTGCTGCAAGGATAACTAAATAAATCAGGTTAAGATGAACGACTTACATAGTAATAAAACAACGTTAAAATGTTCTACAGTTTCCCTATTGTCTGAATCGGGCAGCCAGCAACCTGAAAAAATGACACTTACATGCTGGGCGGCATTAGCGCAATAAGTTGTAAAGCTACGCAACTGTCATATTAGAGTACATGCTTTCCACGAACACTCGGAATACATTGTGCAAAGCTTTGACACATTCTCTTACAGGGCAATGGAGAGAGCACAGTACGGTCGAAGGCCTTTGCACTGGTCTGTAATATAACCGGAAGCCTTGAGCCAACCTCCGTGCCTTTAATGGCCCATCAAGTACACCCAACCTGGAGGAAATGTTTCCCAAAGCGTTTTTCCTGAACGGCGAACACCGCACAAGATGTGTCTTCAATTTCAACTTCATGCGCAGTGCTCTTCAACACTTGCACAGCGCGCGCCAATTTTTAAGCGCATACGCAAACCCCAGTGCGCAACACCGCCTGTCCCGGCGATCATCCTTTTGCATGGTCACGAACGTCACGCGCCTGGTGACCGCAACCACACCTCATATCGCGTTTACCTATCCGTGCCAAACAGCTGCACCTCACAGGGTACCCGCTATTCCCGCTATTGAAAGGCCCCAGAACCTAGAAGTGGTCCCCCTTCCCTCAAAGAAGCGACATGAACATGTGTCGACATCAGCAAAACCACCATGCATGATGCAGATCTGCCACCAGCATAAAAGCACCGTTACCACGTTTTCAGAGCGGCTGCACTCCAGCGTCCTTCCCGCCACTTAACCGGGGGCGCCTGGGTTCCTCCCCGCTAGAGTGGCTCCGCTGAGGACTTATCCCGCCATCACACCATCCTCATCTCGGCCTCATCATGACGTCCTCGTAGTAGCCAAGACGCTAAGGAACGTGCCAGAACGTGGTGGGGCGGGGCAGGGAGGGGCGGCGCGGAGAGGGATACGTCGCATGCATGAATCTCAAAGATGCACCCATGGGAGCTGCTCCAGGGCCATCACGCCGAGCAGTTGTCGCTGTCTGTGGTACCCGCCACGAGCGACCCCCCACGGCGGGCTCGCACGTCAAAACCGCGCTTGTAGTACGCTTGGCGGAGGTTCTTTAGGGACGGAACCAGACCTGAGTTGGGGTCCTGGTGAATCTGCTGGATGTTGCGGGCGATGCTGTCGAGCAGAGCCTGCATGCCGACGCGGATAGTGGAGATCGCGGACGGGGTTACCCGATAGTACTTCATGATAAGGAAGGCCTGTGCTCGCACAGGCAGGGGTCTGGGAGAACAGAGACACAGATATTGGCACGGAGAAGCGACACCATTTTGGTTACGCGGGTGTTCGGCGAAAACTCATTATGCAAGTTAGGATAATCATGTACGCGATATACAAAGCAAGGCACGTATGATTAGGGTAGTCAGGAGTGTGCGTTGAGTAGGTCCGACTCTGCGTAGGTCAAACTCAATCGCAAAAGAACCAAGATGAACAAATCATCGGTGCCATGTCGTTTTAGCCCAAGCGTTGGGACAATAGCCCAGCAGGGCGTCGGTTTCTAATCGTATGAGTTGGTCTTAAGACAGGTCTTGGTGGATGTGTCCCTTAACTCCCAAATGCTGGCGATGGTGTATATATCCCCCAAATCCCAAAGCCGCACCTGTCGCTGTGACTTCTCCACCACGTCACTGAGCACTAAGCTGCGTAGCCTGTTCAGGCTATCCAGCTTCCGGTGCGGCCAGCGAAGGATACCCAGCTGCCGACACTTGCGCTTCAAGTTAGTCGTGCTGGTGCCCAAAGCCATAGCGGCCTGCGGCGCCGGCATGTTGAAAGTCTTGCGCAGGTCCTCCAACCGAATGTCACCGCCCGCACCCCGCTGGACCGCTGGTGCATTGGCAGCGGCGGCGGCGCCGCCGCCGCCGCTGCAGCCTTCCCTAGGGGCCTCACAGCCACCCTCTTCTTCCTCGTCCCTGACAGCACCCGCGTCGTCGTCTCCTTCGCAATCACCGTCGCCGTCTTTGATTGCTGCATGCTCGCTGCGAAGGACCCCCACGGAACGCGTCCCCCGCTGCCGCCGCCGCCGCTGCTGCTGCTGCTGCGTGGTTACGGTGCCTGCCGTTCCACCCCGCTGACGAGGCTGCGGCGGCACAGGGCATTCCCCAACAGCACCTACTGCGGCGGCGGCCGCGGCGGCTGCGGTAGCGGCTAAAGCCCCTCCTGGCAACGGTGATGGCGCTGTCGTTGGAGGCGGGCCGGACGTGATATGTGTGTCGGTGGATTCCCCAGCAGCGCTCCCCGACCCACCGCTCCCAGCCCCGACCTCCACAGCAGCTGCGGCGCCTGCGGAGCCCTTTCCTGCAGCCGCTGCTGTGCTGTTGCCGGCATCGCCGCCAACACCGGAGCCGCGTCCAGCCGTGGCATCAACACCACCAGCCGCGAACGACGGTCCGACGCCCTGGGTTGAGCCGGAATCGGGCCGCAGGGTGTCGCCGCCAAGCCCACCCTGCATCGCCTTGAAAATATTTACACAGCCGCACGCGTGCAGTCACAGGGCAGCACGTATATTCACTTGCACGTTTGGAAGTGATGGCTGAGAGACATACCTTCGCCCGCGGCAGCTTTCATTCCCCGTAAACCCCTGCCTTCTCCTTTGTTTGGAGGCACATCCTTATCCATTCCTTCCCTAGCCCACTTCTCCTACATTCCGGGTGCAGCACAGGTTCACCGGCCCCAACACCACCATCTAATGGGATTGGGAGGGTCAAAGATGCCGACAACTCCATTGTTGATGGTCAGCTCCCAGCGGACAGCGTACACCGAGATACATCGCCGTCATACATTTGAAAGGCCAGGCGTAGGGTGCATCCGTTTTCAAAACCGCGTGACTCTCTAGAGTTTTTTCCTACCCAAGCGAGGGATCATGTTTTCGCGTGCTTTCTGTTTGCCATGTTGACTTCAAGACCATACCTGTCTTGCTGCGGCCGCATGTGTAGGGGCTCCGCACATTTCGCTAAGCGCCTGCTGCTGCTGTGGCTGTGGCTGCGGCTGCTGCTGCTGCTGCTGCTGCTGCTGCTGGCTGTGCTCATCCCGAAGCAGCTTCGAGGCTGCCGAAGCGTCGCCATCGCGACCGGCAACGGCCCCGCCCGACGTCCTGTGCGCAGTAGCCGGCTGCTGCTGCTGCTGCTGCGGCTGCCCCGGTTCCACGTCCACGGCCGAATGAGAGCCGCTCCGGATTACAAATCCAGCACTTCCGCCGCTGCCACTATTTGCACAGCCGCCGCTGCCATTTGGCCCGCCGTTCACCGGGCGGGCGGCCGACCAGGTCGGGGCCGCCATGGCTTCGCTTCGTACATCGTCCTTGAAGCCCAGCGGCAGGTGATGGCGATGGTGGTTGTGGTGGTATCGGTTGCGATGGTGATGTGCAGGCTGCTGCTGCTGCAGCGGCTGCTCTTCTGGATCCCCCAGGGCCCGCTGTAGCTGCGGCTGCCCTCGCTGTAGCAGCCCCCGGTGCTGCTCCTGCGGCTGGTGCTGGTGCTGCCAGGGTTTCCGCCGCCTTCGCTGCTCCTCCTCCTCCTCCTCAACACGTGGTTCCGTATCCTCCTGACGTCGCTGCTTCCTTGAGCTTCTCTCCAACCGGGGTTCCGCTGCGTCCCACGGACCCGCAGCAGCCCCACCACTACTGGCACCCCACCTCACATGGGTGCCCAGCTGCTGCTCCCCGTCGGCAGACCTGCCGAACGGCGGTTCAGTGCCAACACCCGCACCTGCTACACCCGCATCAGGACCGATGCCACTGCAATCTGGATATGCGCCGGACAGAACTGGCTGTGATGACGGCGGCGTGCCACGGAGGGCTGCTCGCAGGCGCTGCCGCGCAAACTCCTGGACCTCCCCCTGCCGCTGTTTTTCCTGCTGTTGTTTTGGTTGTTGTTGGTGCTGTTGTTGGTGGTGGTAATGGTGGTAATGGTGGTCCTCCTGCTGCTGTTGCTGGCCTGGGATGTCTATCTGTCCTGTTACGTTGCTGTGAAGGCGGCTGCCTGTTGCCGGGGGTTCTGGTTGGCCAGGACCCATGATCGCGTCCATGCGGTCGAACCCGACGGCGTCGCGCTGCCGCCGGGGAACGAAGAACAACATATCCAGGAAGAATAATTATATTAGTGGACATATGTGGTTATTAGGGCCTTAGTGGATATCCTGTTGATGAATTTATTTCAATATAATGGACGGGATTAAAGCATAAATATGCAGCAAGCACACACAACTGCAGGGCCGGGCTTGCTCCCGTGCCTTGGTGATAACAACAAGGGGATGGTGATCCTGGCCCGTATGATCAGCTAGCATCTGTTTTTAAGATAAGCTTTGTTTGTGATGCATGACATGAATGCTGACCCGTGCAAAGAAAGGTGGTTCGCTGGTCCGATAATACAACGAAGGGGCTCCCCAATGACGCCTCCTCTTGCCTTGGCACGGGTGCTGCAGACGAGAGCAACAGGGCATACATACATACATACATACATACATACATACATACATACATACATACATACATACGTGCATACATACATACATACAGCTGCACACACGCACACAACAACCTGTCGTTCGTTTCACAACACCGCAAACACGGCACACATCTTTCACTCCAAGCTGACATGTCCCAACACAACGAAACGGCCAAAACAGCTCTTTTAAGTCTTTTTCGCATCATGGCAGGTGCTGCAAGGCGCCATACATGGCATGCACTCACATCGATAAGTTCGCGTAGCAAGCCAGCGCTTGGCAGTTGTCGGTGCGGCTGCTGCTGCTGCTGCTGCTGCTGGAGCATCCGCAGCAGTTGCTGCTCAAGCTCCCGAACCTCAGCATCTGCGTCGGACTGAGGTGCCGCAGTAGCAGCAGTAGCAGCAGCAGCAGCAGTCTCCGTCTGATCATCCGTAGCCCGCCACCACTGCACCAAGTCCACCGCTGGCAGCCCAGCACCAGCACCAGCACCCTTACCCCCGGCCGTTGCCGTACCCGAAGTCCACTCCCACTCCTCACCCCGGCGGTCTGCTCGCAGTGCGGCCCTGCTGTCAACAGCTTGTGCACTGAGCTGCGTTCGGTCCAAGGGTGCACGCATCCCTGGACAGTCCATCATGGAAGCCGGGTTGATGTTTAGACTCATGTTCGCATGCGATTGCATGGTATGTGGTTCTGGAGCCGAGTGTGGATGGGGGCGCGGGCTCGGGCCAGCGGATCCTGGGGCACCGCGCCTTGGAAGTGCAGCGGCGCCCTCAAGCTGTCCTCTGGAAACCCCGCCGCTGCTGTTTCTGGGCAGTCCTTGCTGCTCCTCAGGCATCCGGAATATGGAGTCGGTGTGCGCGCCTGCGAGGTGCCGCATCTTGGCATGTGGGAGCGTCGAGGACCGTGGGGAGGGGAGTATTCTTGATGGTTGGACCTGTTCCTGCTGGCGCTCTCTTTCCACGTGCTCCCCGTAGTCTTGTTCCTGTTCCTGTTGTTGCATTACCTGCTGCTGCTGCTGGTGGTCCGCGTGCCGTAGCTGGCGCTGTTCTCGTTGTGGCTGTCCGTGACGCTGTTTTGGAATTTGAATTTGAAACTGCTGCTGATCTGCCCGTAAGCTACCAGGTTCCTGTTGCGACGCCATTTGCTGCGGCTGCTTCGGCTGATGGGCATGCTGCTGTGGCATGTGTGCATGTGGACCGCACTTCTCAGACCGCCATTCAGCCTGCTGCTGCTGCTGCTGCTGCTGATCCATTTGACGCAGCTGCTGTGTGTAATTACTTTCCGGTGAGACCGGTGGCACCAGGGGCGGCCCGTGCTGGTCCCGCATTTGGTTCTGGGCCTGAGCAGCTTGCAGCAGCTGCCTATGCTGGCGACGCGGCTGTTGTTGCTGCTGCTGGTGGTGATGCGGTTGCTGTTGCTGCTGCTGCTGCTGAGGCCATTCCCCCTCCTGCCGGTCCGGCTGTAGTTGCTGCTGTTGCTGCTGCTGCTGCAGCAGCAACTGATGGGATAGCGACTTGTTGATTAGCACCTTTTGTTGATCTGTAGCTTGGCTGCCTGCTTGCTCTGCAAACCATATACTTGGAATTAGTGTCCGCACCGGCGGCTCCGAATGCTGAGGGTTCTGATGCAGCAGCCGTGTCGCCACATTAACCGGCGGGGCTCGGCCTGGCCCCACAAGCGCTGCCCGCTGATCAGACGGGTAGCGCCGCCACATTTCACCTCGTCGATAGTCGTTGACTAGTGCCTCCTCGTTAAGATTGCCGGTGGGGCTCTTGGGGATTGTTAGGACGGCATGATGCTGCAGGAGGTGTCGCTGCTGCGGCGGAGGCAGTGACGAGGCGCCGGCCCATTGCCCGTCCTTTGTCATGGGCGGGTCGCCGTGGTCAAAGGATGCTACAGCCGTTGCGGCGTCCACACAACGAGGCGCTACTGCCGCGACTGCTGCTGGGGCAGCAGTAGCTGCAGCTGTAATAGTAGTAGCAGTAGCAGTTGCAGCAGCTGCTCGATTACTGCTCCTGTCGATGATTTGGATACTGCTGCCACCGCCGCCGCCGCCGCCGGGGCTTCTCCGGGGCCGGAGAGGAGGCTCTCCAGCGTCTGCGCCAGCTACGGCGCCCTTATTACGCTGGGGGGCAGGGACGGACACCGGTGGGGTGAGTGTAGTAGCTGGTACACAGTACGGCTCTACAAATACGCGCTAAGCGCGACCACCAGCATCTCAAGTGTCTTTTCAGCGGCCAGCTACTACAGTGAGGGAGTGATGATGGAGGGAACGGGCCAGGCCTTGGCCTCCACATCCACATCCACATCCACAATAAGATATATGGTTTGCCTTCCAGCGCCGCGGTCATCTTAACGCCCTGGGGACGAATTGCTGAAGGCGTACAGCCACAGGCGATGGCATGCGGCAGGCTGTGTTCCACGGCATCCAACAACACCACCCGCGTTAACTCAACCACCCACCTTGGCGCGTCCAGATCCAGATCCAGGCCGCTGTCCAGATTCAGATCCAGGCCGCTGTCCAGATTCAGATCCAGGCCGCTGTCCAGATTCAGAGCCAGGCCGCTGTCCAGATCCAGAGCCAGGCCGCTGTCCAGATCCAGAGCCAGGCCGCTGTCCAGATCCAGAGCCAGGCCGCTGTCCAGATCCAGAGCCAGGCCGCTGTCCAGATCCAGAGCCAGGCCGCTGTCCAGATCCCAGTTCAGAAGCGCCGCAGCCGTCAGTCACCTGCTGCTCTTTTGTCGGCTGCCGGCTGCGAGGTGCCAGATGCGTGTGCATATCCTCCGGTTTCCGTACGCCCGTGGCGGCGTCGGCCGGCAGCCCTTGTGCAGCCTCCGCCGCCGGCGTGCCAGACATCCGACGGCGCTTGCGGACCCGGACTGGCTTAGAATCGCATGCGACGCCTTCAGGCCGCTCCTCCACGCCGACGCCTGCGGCGGCGACTGTGGTGGCAGCAGCGCCGCCGCCACCGGGGAGATCTCTGCCGCCACGACAAAGGGGATCCTTGAAGAGCAGGAGCGCCTCAGCGGCAGCAAAGAGGTCCGCCTCCGTCGCCGCCGCAGGGATGTTGACGCCAGCGGCGGCGGCATCGTCAGGGCTGCTAGTGTCCTCCGACCGCTCCAGATGCCCACGCCTAGGCCCGTTCCGCACGGCAGTCGCCGGAGCCACAGCCGCAGTGGCTATCACAGCTGCCTCTCTGGCGGCGAAAGGAGAATCATTCTCCGCGGGGCAGATCCTGAAGGACGCCTCTGGGGAGGCCTGAGCGGCCCTGGGACTGCCTTCGGCGACGGTGGCAGCAGCACCAGGTCCAGACAGCAGCCCTCCCGTGCCTGTCTCCCGTACAATTGTCGGTGCTGGCGATGCTCCCACACTTTCTGATCTTCGCGCGCCGGTCGTGATGCTGCCGGACGTGCCACGAATGGCCGCTGCGTTGGCGTGATGCGGCGTTGCTGGGGTCGTTGCCTTGAGGTGAATATACGGCTGTCTCAGCGACGACGCTGCCGCGACCTTGGCCGCCGCCGCCACCATCGCAGGTGGCGGCAGCAACGGCTTGCCTCCACTCTCCGCGGAAGTCTTCTGCACCGCCTCCGTTTGGGTTTGTTGTCCTATGGCGATATGGGCAATAGCTGTAGCCCTAACAGTAGTGGTAGCGGTAGCACCATGCTGCCGTGAAACTGCAATTAGGGATCCCCCCGCCAGCGACTGCCGCTGCGCTTCCCTTGCGGCACCTCCAGGGAGTCCGGTACCATCATCACAGCCCAGGTCTGTGATATAGGACGCAAGCTCGTAATGTCTGTTTTTTTGCATCTCCCTCCTCGTCACCATCAGGTCGTGCTGTTGCTGCTGCTGCTGTTGTTGTTGCAGTAACTTGAGCATACGTGCATGCCCCGGCACTTTGTCAGGCTTTTCGTACGTGATTACGCATTGCACGTCGTCAGAGCCATATCCGTACTTCTCCTGTACGGCCATCCGGCCATGCCCTTCTGTCGGCGGCGCCACCGACTGACCGACGGTAGTGGTTCCCGTTCGGCCGTGACAATCGCCGGATGTATTGATGTAAACGCCGCCGCCGTCGCCACCGCCACAGCCCCCGGCCGCCGCCGCCGCCGCCGCCAACGTAGCGCCGCGGTGGCCTACGTCCGTCGGCTGCCGAGAGGCTGCTGGTGCTACGCCAGCGGCAGCGCCACTGCTCGGCGCCGCCGCCGCCGCACTGTCGTACTTGACACTGTCGTACTCACCCCGGGCCGATACAGCTGCGCTTATGCTGCCTGCAGCCTCCGCCTTCCTGATTGCCGCCACCTCCTCTGACTCACGATCGTCTACACCGTCGCCGTAGCTGGCAGTCAGCTGCCGTACTGCGGACAGCCCCGTCGGGACTACCTCCTCTCGAAAATCCTTATGAGCAGGGGGGTAGCTGCCGCTGCCGTACACAAGTGCGGCGTTGCCGCGCTGCCGCCGAGCCGCGGCTGCCCCGGCTAAAAGAAGACTCGATAGGACGCTCCGACTCAGCACGAAGCCGTTGCCTTGGTGCGGCTGCTGGTGCTGCCGCTTCTGTAACCCGCATTGTGCTTGCTGATAATGTGGGTGCGGTTGTGGTAACTCCGATAAACCAGGCGGTCGCCAGGTCTGCGGTGGTGGTTGTAGCCTCTGAGGCGGTTGTAACGGTTTTCGTTGCACCGGAAGCCGGGGCCTAACCGTCGCCGGCGAGGTGCCGGTGCCGTCTCCAAGATTAGCCTTGGGAGCCATCACTGATCCCCATGGTAGGTCACTGTTCGCAGGACCCCGCGGCGATGTGGGGCTGAGGCTGAGAGCACCCTCAAAACTCCCTGCCGCGTCCGTCTGGCTCGCGACCTCCGGCTCCACAAGCGGTTTACGACAACGATAGGACTGACGAAGTGTCGTATCGCATGCGCTTTGGTTTTGTGGTGGAATCGATGAGGGGATGGCAGCTGAGGTGGCCGGGGGGCCGCCGCTTCCGCTGGCCCTACCCCTCTCTGCGACTGGTCGAGCGTGCAGCAGCAGCTGCTGCATTAAGGATTCCTGTTCACGCCACACTGCTAGCCGCCTTCGCTGCCGCCATGGTACTGCCACCTGAGCGGCCAAGCCCAGCCGATGCAAGGCGCCCTGTTCGGTCCAATCTACTTCATCTTTGTACGGCAAGCTTTCCTCAACCTTGACCACGTCGCGTTCGTCGTAACGCTGTGCATCGACGTGTTCCCAGCTGCCTTCGACGCTGCCGCCGCCGCCGCCAAGATGAAGCTTCTGAGCTTTCGGCTCGCACGGCCGCTGTGGGCCGCGCCGGCTGGCATGCGAACTCGCTCCAGATGCCTCCCTAGCACCAGCGATGTACGGAGGCACCCAACCCCCCCCGGGAGCCTGGTTGGCCGCGGCCGCGGCGGGGAAGGACTGGTCTTCCGAGGGCTGTACGACATGTACGGCCTCTACCGTACGCGGGCTGCATGGGAGGAGGAGGCGTGGAAGGGCCAAGAAGGGTTGCCATCGTGTTGGGAGCTCGACCCACATGCGCGTGCAAGAAAAGTTAGGGCTGCCCAACGACCTTTTCGCCCCAGCGCTGCTGCAGCAGCTTTCATGCGCAGGGATCAGCGGCGAAGGAGACAACAGCAGCGCGTCCGTCTAGTAGGTGCAGGGTAACTCTCACAAATATGCCAAATGTAAGAAAAGAAAAGATGAAGGCGAAGCGCCCTGCCGAAATAGGATCGAGTTGTTGCGCCTCGGAGTCACGGCGACTTAATTTCAAATTCATTTTGCAATGAGTACACAAATGCGATCGTTCCCCCAGAACTCACAGGTGACAAGTAATATGCGGCGGCATCTTTCATAATCTGTAAGGTGCCGCGAAAGGGCTCTGCCCGGCCATCCCAAACCCAGCCGGACCCCGTTAGATTTCATAATCCGGTCCTCTTCCCCTCCTTCCCCACACAGGCAGGAGAACGACAGACTTCTCGCGCGTTTAGAAAGTCGAGGGACGTGGGTTTTCCAGCTGGGATGTCCTGCCAGGGGGGTCATCGACCCGCCCCATGACCATTTCCGAGTCGCCTCCGGATTTCTTTTGTACTCATCCGCGCACCTGCACCGTTTCCCCCAACCATCCACCATCACCAACCTGACTTTCGCTGTCACCATAACGACATTACGAACAGGTTTCGCGAAAATTAGGATTGATGAACACGGCAGCGGGAAGCTCCCCTAAGATCCTATTCACACCGTATTAAAGCGCACGATATACTTTGCGGGAAAAAGAGAAAACTTGATGTTTACGATAAATATATTTATTCTAGTAGCCCGGCCCAGCGATTCTCCTAACAAAGACGGCACATCGGCCTGTCAGTGGAACTAAAAGTCAAGTTCGCGGTGATGGCAATACAACCTTCTCGCGGGCCGAGCTCGGCTTTCTCCGGCGACGAAACGGTCCGAGAATTCATCTTGGACCTCTCTTCGATTCGCGGAGTTCGGAGCAACATCATTCGCGGCCTCAAAGTCCCCACCAGCGATCGCCCCTACATCTACCCATATGGCGGGCGGACAGTCGCAGAAAGAATCGGATGCGGGCCGACAATCTAAAGCACATCTTCGGTGCTGCAACACCAAGATCTTGCCCTCAGAAACATTTCGCAGATATACAACTAGAGATGACAAAGTCTGAAAAAAGCTGTAAGGCCGCGCACGCAAGGAAAACAGATGTATCACATCTTTGATCAGAAGTAAGAAGGAAACCTTGGTTATCCGTAGCGCCATCCATCACCGCAGCTTTCTTCCCTTTTGGAGAATGTCCGCATGGAGTATATGGATCATTCACTTCTACAGCAAAACGGCTTTCCCTCTCTGTCTCCCGGAACTTGCGATCCTTCGTTTGCCGCAGTAGCCTATTTAGGCTCCGGGCGTTAATAGCTATGGTTTCGGACATAAATGGAAGGTCCAGAGCACCCCCCGGGGAGCGGGCGTCGCAACGGCATACCTACGCTGCGCCATGGGGGCCGGAAGTCGCAGCTACGAGTTGCTGTGTAACGGCTACAGTTTGTGTTGCTGCTGACTGAGCATGGGAAGGGGGTTCAACGAAAACGAGGAGTTGCAGCGGGTTTCTCAAAGTGCGCAAGGCTCACAAACACACACGCGCCGTGTGTTTTTCCCCGGGATTCGCCGCCCTTCCCAGCATAGTCCCGTAGTCGGGGAGACCGCGGAGTGCGCGTCGGCACATGCCATGCTTCTGCAAGCTCCGCAAGGAAGTGGGGATTCTAATGGCGGTTATGAGGAGGAGTTCGGGTAGGATGGGGTACCGCGTGGGGTATTGCGTGGCGATGAAGGCTGGCGAGAAAGCGTGCCAGGGCGCCGTCCCGCGGCATCCACCCGGTTGGATGGTACGCAGAGCTCCAACGCGCGAGCAGCAGCCATAGAGTGCAATTTTGACGTACAGACGTTTCCCGTTGGGTTGGCGAAATGCCGGGCGTCGCAAGGGACCTGTGATAAGAGAACAACCCAGTGCTTACCTGAAGCCGGCTTGTTTGGCCTCGGCATGTTGCGGGAACAGCTCGTAGGGGAGTTGCATCCTTCTCCGGGAGCAGATGTTTGAGCCCTTGAGCTGGGCTGTCGACTTACTCAGAGCCTGTTAGGAAGATTAATAATAAACAGTGTTAGATATGGAGATGGCACCGTGGGTGGCTCTGCTTCTTTGCGCAACGAATGAAAGACTACGCAAGCCGTCCTTTGTGACAACGTTTGTCGAAAAAGATGACCGGTGGTCTCCGGGATCACTATCCGTGCCCGCCAGTTGGGGCGTTGCATTGATTAGGATGAAGAAAATACTTTCCAATGAATGCATGCGGCTGCATTGCACACATGCAACTTATGGGCGCCCGATACCGGATAAGTTTGATTTAGTGGCAATAATCCGCGCGCGCGCCCTTTTGATAACCAATCCCTGCGTAGTATGCCATACCGCACCCACCTCAACGGCAAAGGGTGTGTGGTTATGTCGCCGCAAGCGTTGCCTCCCTTCTTCAGCCAATAAACTGAATTATCGAACAACGAGGATCGAGTTCAACGTTAAAAACAGGTTTGAACTCTTTCCACATATATAAATAAATGTAAGCAAAACGAAAGGCTCATGGCTATGGGGCGGCGTTGTACTTGGACGGGTGCGTTCAGTCAGGCCGCGGGACGTCAAAGTCAAGCTGCATAAAAACTGCCCTTGATAAGACAACTTGCAGATATACGCTTTTCCGTGTTGAAGAAATGTATCTCCGCGGCGTTTCGATTGCTGTAGAAGTACGGCTGGATTAGACGGCTAAACCGAATTACTACGAAGAGGTTATCTAATCTTGGAGCAACCCAGAATCCTTCAAAGGAAATACTCTCGAACAGATTTACATGTCACAGATGCTCGGTAGGCAAAGCACTCCAATCGGTCAGTCGGAGCTCGTCCGAGCCTCGAACGGCAGGCGACCCGTTCACCCAGATGCAACTCGCAGCTGAGCAGCATTCACTAAGGAGCCATCCCTATATGGAAATGTTCCGGCTTTTTCCTTAAGTGTTAATGTGCTGGCAAAATGCTTCTTATGTGCTAGAAGTCATAATGCGTTGGGCCTTTGGGACTCGTAAATGTCATTAGCCTCCATGTAACCAAGTTTGCTGCCATACACAGTCCTGGAAACTTATGTAGAAATTAATCTTGGGCTATAAGGGATCTACAAGCTTGCACTAGATCATGGCAAAGGCGAGCCCGACCTGTCCAGGAAGCTGAGCGACTATGAAATCATGTGATTCCAAAAGAGAAGAGAAGAGAAGAAATCAATCCAAACCCAAAGGTCACCGAAAGGAAAGAATAATGGCAGCAAAAGCCAAACCTGACCAACAACAGCAGAACACCGCACGACGAAGCAAGACGAACATAATTGAGGCAGTCTCCATGCTTCACGGTTCGCACCATCGAAGCAAACATGCGCAGTGGCAAAGCCACAAGCTTAGCACGCACTGCGCCGTACACCTGGCTTTCAAAAAGCACATGGAGCCACTTTTACTGCATTACGATTTTTACAAAGCCTGTACCGGAACACCATCATCCAGTCATCATGATCGATAATCGGGTATATGCCCTAGTGGGGCTCTTGCAAACCTACGTACCATGCAAGAGAATTTACAGCACTTCACAACGAATGAGGGATACGCCATCGATGAGACTTAAGAGGTCGCAAACCTGTGCAAAAATATTTCATTTTGCCCGGCCAAAGCATCTTTCATTTTTTTATAACTCATTCGGACCCAACTACCCGACTTGAAGTCACGCTCAGGCTACAGTTACTCGACGCGAAAATCCCGCTGCTGCTTGATGGCATGGGAAACGCTGACTTCGCCTACAACGACATCTTATCGTCGCCAGGTTCATAAAATTCAATTCTAAGAATGAAACGTATTCAGTAGCTAAAGAGTCGCGCAACATCATGGCTTTTGAGTTCGCAGCACCGAAGGTCCGCCGCCCACATCTGACCGGGGCGTCATCCGCTGCACGCACATCATGCGCATGACCTAAGACGCCTCTCCCTTCTCCATCGCTGTAATGGCCATGCTAATGACTGAATTACGAGGACTAATTCGTAACACATGCAACCCTCGGCACAATCCCTCCAGAAGGATGCGACCGGGATATAAGTCGGTTTGCTGATACGTGTCCAGCAAGGAAGCATCCGAAAAGCCGACCGTTCGGCTTCAACCAAATAATCACCGCCAGGATGAGGGCTCAACGCGCCAGCAATCATCAGCTAGTTTGTCATCAGATGCCGCAGCTTCGCTACACAGCCAAATAACGTCACGTACAAGCTGCGTACTGGAACCCCGTTGTACGCAGGAAATGACTGCGCCCGATCACGATGCCATGCGCCGCATCCGCGAAAGGAAAAACAGTAATAACAAGCCTTGCCTGACTAATTTCGGATGGTGACTTCCGAAGCAGCGTGCGCGGAAAAACGAAGGCTTTAATAAGTAAGGGAATCGCGATCCATGACGCGAAGGGGCACAAACTAAGCATATTTTCGCTCAACGAAAACATTACATTATAAGCTAACCATTTTCGCCATGTTTGGCATCGCATCCACCTGCCCATACTTTCGTAACGGCCGACGGGTAGGAGTTACTTCCTGTCAGGGAAACTGAAATGCTGAAGCTGCCACAGACGAAGAGCAATAGTCAGTAAGATGGCCGATGCTATTGCGACAGCCCGCCATGCAATTACCTAATGATGGTCCAGACAGGGGAAGTGCTACAATCTGAATTGCGATGTGGATTGCCCCCGCACTCCAATATAAAGTCGCAGGTATAATGTAGCCACGGCTTTATGTAGCCACATGCGATGGAGGCAGGCAGGTGCAACCGTGCAGCCCCGTCCTGTGGCTGTCTCCGGCTGTCAGGCATGATCCAACCCTACACGCGTCCCATTCCCTATCAAAGTTTGTTTGGTAAGGCGGAATACCGGGAAAGGGCATGTAGAAGTAGGGGGCTGGAGTCAACCTAGTAGGAATGGACACATGCAGGCCGGGGCAATGCCCCTTGACATAGGGTCCTACGACATCATAACAACCCCCAACCCCCCTTGTTGCAAATCTTACCGCTAGGGCCAAGCAAATCATTCAGGATTGCTACCACGCACTGTCCATGGGGTGGATTGCTCGCTTCGAGGGACGGAAGGAAAGCGCTAGGCTCTAATGGCTGAGTGCTGGGGCTAAGGACGGGAAGCTAAGGACGGGTGGGATGATTGAATGACTGTCGTTAGGTCACCAGTTCCCTTGTTCGGTACTCCAGGCAGCGTGATACGGGGCGTGAAGGAAGCAAGGAAAGAAGGGAGGAAGGAGGTCGCCTGTATATACGGGTAGCTGATAGTTGTGAGGTCGTATTGCGGCATTATTGGTCGCGGGCGCATCAGGCTGTCAACAGGCTGGTAGGTTTGCGGGTGGGTGGACTGGGAAGAGCAGGTGGTATATTCGGTTTTCCCGTCGCGCTTGCGGCTGTACATTTCTGGTTCGTTGCTGAAGTTTTCTCATGTTGTGTGCTGTAATCTTGCTGTTGTTTGTGTTCTGCTATGTTTCGAGGTCCTGTCGCTTCTAGCTCGTGTGCTGTTTGCGTTTGCTGTACGTTATGTACGTTATGTACGTTATGTATGCGTGTGTATGTTTGATGTGTGGGACAAGGATCCTACCTTCACCCATGGCCGCTACCTGGCGAAACCCTGCCTTCCCGGTATTTCGGCGCACCCTGATCCTGCCACCCTAGCCAAATTCTCAGTGGATCGCTCAGGTACGGCATCCACCACCGGCATTCAGCGGAAACTGTCGGATCAACGGCGGCTCAACTCCAATCCTGGTCAGCTCGCAGGTCTACGTTATCCCAGATCACTACCGTCCATCGATTAGGGTCACTCTTACCTTCCACATCTCGACCCTGACAGGTCTCGATCCCGGAACCTCCGGGGGCATCGGTGTGTGCCAGTGTTAATAAACTTTTTGACCGTGGTAATTTTTTAGTGACCAAGTGGTTACTGTGGGGGTTTTCCTTGGCAACCACCTTACAAATGTTTCCCCCAGCGAGTATGCTGAACAGGAGCCCACTAGAACCGCACATCCGAGGATCCAACTTTGACTCTATGTACGGCAACGTGTTCCCGAGCGAGCTCAGTGAAGCCATCACGGCTCCCATCCAAGCGTCAAAAACGTTTTAGGTGGTCACTACGGGGGTCTGTGGCCCGATTTCCTGGCGACCACCTGGTTACTGGCAGGTGACTAAGAAAGGTTCCTAGTGACCACCTCCTGGAAGGGAATTATCTTCTCAGTAACCATTTGGTCACTAGTGACCACTTTAATAACACTGGTGTGTGCGTTACCAGCAGTGCCTGAACTGAGGTATACATGTATGCATGTATGCATGCATGTCTCCCACCTTCAACTCCACCTCTAGGTTCCCTCCCACCCGTCCCCCGGCCCCCCCCTCCTTCAGCCCTTAGGAACTATGGGCCCACAAACGCTTTCCCTCCCCCCTTCGTAGTCCCCACCCCCCTTCCAACTCCGCGTCCATGCATCAGCCCTGCCCTCACTAATCCGCTCGAACAGATTTTTTAAGCCGTTATTTCCACCGCCTCTGCGCATCATAGCGCTTCTTGTGAAACCGAAAGGATCGGGTGGTCGGGTCCGACCCCGTCCCAGCCCCTCCGGGGGATGCCCAGCGCCACGGAACAGCGCAAACGCGCGCAGAAGTCCACCACCGCCCGGGTGCGGGCCCGCCCTTCGGAGGTTGCTACCGGAGCCGCTACCGCCACAGCCGCCGCGGCTCCTGTCACCCATGTTGCCGTGTTTGGCCCCTGTGCTTGGTCCTCATCCCCCGGCACGTACAGTGCAGGCCCCGCCTTTGGTCCCGCACCGTCGGCCTGCGTGAAGAAGTCTGTAATCCGCCTCTGCCTGGGGCCCTGCACCTGCACCTGTTGAGTTTGCTTCTTCCGTCATATACTGGACCATAAGCGGGCCTGGGTCGCCCTGGAAATGATTTCCCTGTGGGCCGGTTGCAACAGGTCTGAGTCCGGAGGGGGGATCTGCCGCAGCCCACGTGAAGTAGCTACCAGGTGTCTTCCCCTCTCCTCAGTAGGCCCACACTGCAGCTGTGTCGCCAGGCGAGCCGTGAGGTGTGTGCCGCCGGGACTGCTTACGTCTCCCCGGATAGGCACCACCCAATCGGCCCGGTCGGTAATCATACCCATCGCTTGTGTCCTTGGCGGCAGTGGTGCTGGCGGCACTACGGCAGCCTCCCTCCTCCCCCTCCGTCTTCTATGTAGCTGGTCCAGTTATCCCGCTCTGCTCTTGCTGCTGCTGCTGGTGCTGTTGTCGTTATTGTTCGTTGTCACCGGGTCTCCATTGTTCTAGCGGCTGTGGTCCAGGCCGGGCGACTGCTGCCATGAAGCGCCGTGAGGGCTGCCAGGGTCGCAGTTTTGTCCCTCATGGAGGTCGTGACACGTGAGGTCCATACCGCCCTAGGGGGTGCGGCCAGCTCGCTGCTCTCTGTCAGGTCCTAAACAGCACCAGGTCCCCTACCGTCTGCAGTTTCCTGCATGTGGCGAGTCCTGGGTACTGGGCCGCCAGCCAGGCCCGTCAGGTCGGCCCCTCCAGCACTCTGGGGAGCAGCAAGTTTCCCCGTAGTGCGGTCGCTCAGCACACCAGCCACCCGGGGTCACTGGGCTGGTCCCCACGTCCTCATTGGGGTGGCGGCAGATGTCCCGGGACGCTAACAGTGCATGTACGTAAGCATGGCGTTGTCCGGTGCTCTCTCTCGGAGTCCGCTTCCTTGTGTCCTCATCCGCATCCCTAAGCATTTTTTCAGTCTTTGATCCCGTTTCCTTCGCCCCTGCTTTGTTATTTGTCATCGTCGCCTTTTGTGTACTCTTTGTCTACCTTTATATTTTTTTGTTGTAGGGTGCCCAAGCAAGCCTGGTGCTTTCCCCGATTCATGTCTGGGCCTGCGTGTGTTTTGGTCTTCTTCACCTCGGGTGGGCCCCCCAGGCGGTTTCTTGCCAGGTGGGTTCCGGCTAGCGCTTGTTACTCCGTACCTTCCGTGCACGTTCCTTCTCGGCTACGCCTGTCCGCGTCCTCCCGAGGAGAGCATACCCGCATGGAAAAACACACCTGGTCATGTCGTAGCAGGTAGGCGACCGCTGCTGCTCTCTGCATGGTAATAATGGCCGGCAGCGGCCCTCTACCAACCACGACAAGATACACGACTACACTGGTGTGCCGGGTTACGCAGCTCGCGCCAAAGACCTCTCCGAAAGACCATCGTGGAAAAAAAAATCAAAAAATGATTTAATATGTCTCTGTCCATGTTCCCTCCCCGCCTTCCCCCACGTAAACAACCGCATGCGGTTCAGCTTTGCGCCGGGATTGAGTGGAATTCCGCGTCAACGTTGCCCCTCCTAACATGAGCGAATCCGGATCACGCACAGCATCAGGGGGGGTCGTAAGTCCATGTGGCTGGCGCGCCCGCAATCCGCAGATAACCCCGCCGCGGGGATCCCTTAGCGCACAAGCTTTCGCCACAACCATTTGCTCACAGCTATTTCGCCTTTCGAGGTGTGGCTTTTTCTTTCATTATCACGG